GCAAAACATGCAAAAATCATAATTTTTTTAACAGACATCTTTTTTTCATTTAGCCATTAAAACCAGAGGTTATATTTGTGTTCAACATGTTCTGTGTATTAGAGCTACTGCTGCCACCGCAGCAAACTTCCTCTCTGCTATCTCATATTCTCAAAATATAAAAGTTAAAAAGGAAGTTAACATCACTGGTGACATAGCTCACATCTAACCACCAGCATTGTTTCCATGAAGACATTTACACATATCTCATGTTCACAACCACCAAACTGCCATCCCACGGTACTATATTGAGCGGTTTTTTTAAAGCTGTTCCAGTTCACCAATCAGAGGTGAGTGGACCTTATTTGTCCAATTTGTTCCTTTTGACACATTCTCTGTCCTCCCACAACTGATCATCAAAGTGTAGCAAAAATACATCTCCTTCCTTAAGCTACTTCCTCAAGAAGGAAGTTGCTTGATGATAGGTGAAGATGATTGCTGCATTGTTTTCAACATCTTCATTGGTATGTGCTCTTCGCTCATGCTTTTCTTTTATTGGAACATGTTTCTTCGTTTACGTTTGTAGAGACTTCACAAGCAGCCACACAGCATGTTTCTGTGTGGCTGCTTCCCGCTACCACAAATGGTGTTTTCCATGGGAACCACGAATAAAGTCAGGCTCACACTCATTGCTCAAAAATTGCTCTTCCAAGGAAAGGGAGTGTGTCTGGATGCCTCTGTGATCTCTGGACCAAGCCTGCACTCCAAAAAGTAAAACAAGCATCAGTCCTAGTGAATTTTCAGAATAAAATCAAACCACCAACCTAAGCTGAATTAACTAGTGACAGTAAGAAGTAAAAACAGAAAAAGAATGACAATCAGTTTGATTTACCTTCTGTAGCACAGCATTACCAAAGCTACACAGTACACAGTAGCTGCCAGATCCCGAGCCACAGCCCTTTAGCAGGCCAGTTACCCTTGCGCCAGAGCCCATTAGCGGGCCAGTTATGCTAGCGCCTGAGCCCATTAGCTCCAAGCCTCCAGGAGCCCTCAGCAGGCACTCCAAGCCTCTAAGAGCCCTCAGCCGCAGTAGGTGCCCCCCTCCGAGGTTTCTGAGCCACAGTCGGTGGCCTTCTCTGAGGTTCCTTAGCCGCAGTCCTCCAAGGCTGCTGCTTTAGAGACGCCATCTTCCAAGGCTGCTGCAGCAGAAACAACATTTTCCAAGGCTGCAGCAGCAGAGACGGCGTCTTTCAAGGCTTCTGCAGCAGAGACGGCGTCTTCCAAGGCTGCTGCAACAGAGACGACATCTTCCAAGGCTGCTGCATCAGAGACGGTGTCTTCCAAGGCTGCTGCATCAGAGACGGTGTCTTCCAAGGCTGCTGCATCAGAGATGACATCTTCCAAGGCTACTGCAGCAGTGACAGCGTCCACATGGTCGCCCTCCAGAGGTCCTTAATGGTCGCCGGCCCCACGGTCGACCTCCAGAGACTCTGCCTCGCCGCCGGCCCTGTGCCCGCCCTCCACAGACTGTTCCTCGCCTCCGGCCCCACGGCTGCCCTCCGGAAGGCTCTCCCTCGCCTCCGGCCCCGCGGCCGGCCTCCAGAGACTTTCACTTGCCGTCGCCCACCTTTGGTGGGTTGTTTTTTGGACTCTTTTTTTTGGGGGGGTTTCTTGCCCTCCTTCTTGTTTTCTGTTTTTGGACATTTGAGGGCGCAACATTTGAGCCACAAATACTCTCCTCTGCTGTCACTCTTTGCTGGTTCCTTGTTGTTGCTGGTTCTGTCGTCGCTGGTGTCTTCTCACCTCGGCTCTCCTCGTACTCTTTTTCTCCTGATGACTCCATGGTTTTGGGTTTGTTAACATTTTTTGTTGGATTTTGGGATTCCTGCCTCTGTTTACTGTTTTCACCCATTAAAACTGCAACAAATCACCTCTCCCTCTCTGCCTCTGCATTTGGGTCCTCAAACATCAACCAAATCCTGACAATTTGGTGTTGGTCCTTAAGGTCTCTGAATAGGGTGTGTAACATTGGTTGGGCTGAAAATGTCATATTTGCTGTTCTATGAGCCCTAATGCAAGCCTGATTATAAGCCTCAGAATGAAATGACAGGTTTTCTTCATTTTATGGTATGCTCATGAATATTTATATGAGCTGTGCACTGATTGGTTGGTTTATAACGAGAGATGCTGCTCAGCAAAGACGCATCATAGCAACAAGCACTCAGTCACTGAAACATCAAATTGTTGATATGGTAGGGTGACCAGACATCCGAACATGTCCTACTTTTCATACCTAGAAAAAATGTCCGGGGGGAATTGCAGTCTTGCATGTAGTCGAAACAGGAAGCCAGTGGGGGACGGAGCGACCGAACCTGACCCGGTGACGGTAGCCTGGACAACGGCGGCCCCGTGCTTCCGCCCGCCAACCCCCATCAACAATTGGCTCATAATGTGTTTATAAACCATCACAGTTACAGAATGAATGGAGTATCTGATCACCAACATTGCATTGAAAAAGGTTTGCAAGTTACACTTGGCTGAACAACCGGAAGTGAGGTCTTATTCAGACTTAGTGCCTCACTTAACAAGAAAAGGAAACTGCTGTATCCAAATTAAAGCCGTTCGTCTTTTGTAAGACCTGATATTTATGAATAAGGTATTCGGGAGGATTCAGCCTCTAAATTAGTACAGCATTTGTAGTCTCACTGTTATGTAATCAGGCAACAAATGTGGTCTTCAAAAGATGCAGCCCCTTAACTAGACACAGCTATAGAGGCCATGCATACATGTACAAACATTGATATGAGTAGGACTACAGTATACAACTTTGAGTCATGTTTGAACTGATGCAGCTTGGGCTTGATGCAGCTTGGGTTTTTTACTCATCCTTCTTTCATGTATATATTCAGACACTAGAAGGTGTTAGCTTTCAAATAACGTTTCACACATGTAATTTGGGCTTATAGTTCCTGAGTTATTTGCTTTTCCATTCGGGTATGCAAAATAGGCAAATTTCCCAGAAATGAGGAGCATATTGAGAAGCTAGTGCCCGCCTACAAAATAGCATTTAAAGCAGTATAAATAAAGGCTCCCACAGCAAGTTAAAATAACCATGACAAAAATGTTTTCAGCCTTTCCCTGAGACTTGGTCAACACACAGGGGAGAGAATACTACCATTCTCTTGTATTACCTGTCAATTTCCCATACAATTGTATCATAGAATTATATATATAAAAAAAAAAACATTGATCTGCCTCTCTGAACAGAACTGTCGCTAGAATAGCATTTCAAAATCTAATCACCTTTGTTCGTTAGTTGTAGTTATAGCAGTTTTTATTGTAGTTTGCAGTTGGTTAGTTCCTTTTAGATTTTTTATCTAAAATATCTTACAATATAATGGATGGTGGAACTTGACTGGGGTATTGCAAAACTTCCCCTATTTTTAATCAAAAACTTGATAGCTCCACATATGGCCCTTTCCAGGGCTACGTACAGTCCAACACCCATAAGCAAAGATGTTGATGGTAGCAGCCCAGCTGATATGTTTCCAGGTTGATGTCAGGCCAAACAGGAACAGATCAGACGAAAAGCAGAAAGAACATTAAGTTAAGTCAGGGGTTTAACTAAAAAATACTGCAGAATGAGAAAATAGAGATAGAATGAAACAGAAAGAGGAAAAATGGCCCCTCTTTCCTCCAGCAGTCTAAGCCTATAGCAGCATAATTGTGGAAAGAGCTCCAGATAACCTGAGCCACTCTTAATATAAGCTTGTCCAAAAGGATTACCATTTGCTTTTACAAAACATGTATGGTTTGTTTTTGATAGTTAAGCATTCCGGCCATGGCTTTTTGTGCCTGGTCAGCCTTTCTACATGAAGCCCCTGACAATTGTTTTTTTTTTTAACCATCAAGGCCCATGATTCAACCTACTTGACTTTGGTGGCTTTTAGCTACCAAAAATGTTAGCATGTATCACAAAAATGTTTTGATCTTTTGTTTACTGGATCTTGAAATCACTGGTTGTGAAATGTGAAGGATACAGAAGGCCCTGTGGTATTATTATATAACACAACCTCATCGTTGTGATTGCTCTGCTCTCCACGTTTGCGTCACTCTAAACTGCCTGTGCGCTGATGTCAGTGACCATGCTAGACCCCAAATGCAAACCCCAATGTCCTTCAATCACTCCCTCCACACAATCAGCTGTCCCCTTAGCAATGCCTTCCTTGGAATGTTTTTTAAAAAGTTATTTGAGGGCAAGCATAAAGCTCTGGAACGACGTGAATCATCTAAATATAAATACCCATCTATATAAATACCCATGTAAAGACCCTGTGCAATAACCCTGTATCATGATCCTACTATAAAAATGTTTTAAAAAGCTGTCATATGTGGACGCACTGTATGTATCACATGCACCCTTTTCTTCCTTTGGCACCTTCTTCTTTGTATATTTGAGCTGATGTAACGAGAACATTTCTCCACTGTGAGATAAATAAAGTCAATCAATCAATCAATACTTTAAAATTAGCGACATGGGGTAGAACTAACAGGAAACTGAGCTGGGGTGAGTTGATATAAATTTATCTCTATTCATTCCTTTTTACTTTATATAGAAGAATAAAGCATCAGAAATTAGTCATAATTGGTTTTAGGTGTAAATTTATATTTCTTAGTAAAATCATATTTTTGGGTCACATAATTAAATATAACACCCTTGAAAAAAAATGAACACTTTAAAAAGACATGACTCCGTTTAAAAATGGTATCGTGAAGGCGTCATTCATTTAGTACTATCCCTTTGTTTTCTAAATTTTACCTTCTAAAACTAAAAAAAAAACTTTTTTTTCTGACATTTTTGAACATCTTAAAAAAGATATTACGGAAAGTGTCGAAGGAAGGAAAGTCCCTATGAGTCTTTATGAAAGTTCCTCCTCCAGAAACCAGAGGAGGGGTGTTATGTTATCTATGATAAAAAGGGCTGCTTTACAGCCTCAGCCATTTGTGAAGGTAGACAGGCAGAGAAGGAAAATGCTTTCCTTTGGACGGATTTCAACATCTCTCTTTACAATTCTGATGCTTCAATTCAAAGGTAAGAAAATATCTAACAAATATTATTTTAATATAACATACAACTTGAACTATTTGTTTGTGAAGCTTTATGTCTAACAGTTATTATTAGCTGTTGCTTTTCTTCACAAAAGTAAAAAAGCAGGTAATCATAAGCTTCATTCTGCTGTGATCAGAGATTAAGCTGACTTTTTCGTGAGCATAGTTCCAATGCAACAATTTTAGGTTTTTTCATAGAAGTCATACCAGCTAATGTGCAAAGTGCCATGGCAGCGGTACCTGCCACAATTTGCACCTGCTGTCTCTCTGGAAGTCTGGACAGAACCAGTGAACTAAAAACATTCTTCAATAGGTTCAGTTCTGGAACAAGCTCAGCATCCCTCTCTCTTACCCACTGTCAAATTAACCTCTTCCTTTGATCCAAAGTCTTATTTATGTCCTGTATTTAGAGAAATGTTCCATGTATTCAGAATTTATTTTAGCTGATGTAACAAGGGTGGGGAAGGTTGATGTGTCTCCTCCATTATGAAAGAGTAGAATGTCAATCTGTGGCTTTCATAGTAGGTTACACACACTTGATGGAGAGACATCAGTCTATCATCTATTATACATATAGTGCACCATTAGAAAGAAGTAAATCTTAAACATTCTCCCTTTAAATGTTTTTATTGGGTCAATATAAAACCCTTTTAATTTATGAATGCTCATAGTGGACTGCTCTTCTCAAAAACTCACCTATGCAACAGGAGAGGGTCGAATCCGTCATGTGATCCAGAGTGCCTAGTAGTCTAAGCCTTCCTTAGAGAGGAGTGCGAACTAAGCTAAAAGTTCTTAGTAGAAAGTAGAAAGTAGAAAACCTATTTCCGGTTTTCTTGTCAAATTCAGCTTTATTAAAAGCAGAACTCACAAAAACTCAAGGGGGATTCTCTCACAAGAAAAAACTGGTAAAATGTATTATAAATTTGATACTAAAGAAAAATATCCAACCGCTTAGTAAGATTTTGTTGATTTTTAGCAACAAAGATTTATTTAGAAATATCACAATACTACCAGGAATCAAAAGTTTAATTCAATAATATTTCGGTATAAATAGATCAATAACCAAAAATCCTTATATCTGAGGAAAAAAAAACAAAAAACAAAAAAAAACAACCCTAATAACTGAAAGTCCAAAACTACCCGTTCTTTTTATTTTTTATGATAATGTCCAGACAGGAGTTCCATATACTCCAAACTCAAAGAAAAGTCCTGGAAGTGTTTAAGTCCAAGGTCCGTTCCAAAATAAAAAATCCAATCGACAGTCCCCCAAAAAAAGATTAGAAAAAAAGAGTGGTCTTCCTCTCCGGTCAAGCCACACGCACGATGCACACGCCCCTTTTTATTAAGAAATTTCCTCCATACCAAAAGACCCAGCATTTTAATACCCAACATCATTTTTTTACCAGTGGAGATTCAAAATAATATTACCAATGACATAATACCTGTTCTACAAAACAGTTTATCTGTACACTTTAATGTACTTCATACAAAAAAAAAAGAAAATAAGATAGTGGTTATGTTACACTCTGATGTCGATATCTAATCGAGAGGGGGGAATGTTGTCCTACCTTGATAACTTCAGGAATTCCAGTACAAAAAAAAAGGATTGTTTAATTTTCAAAGGTTCACTGTTGGTAGTTTCTCTATGTATGTAGCATACAGTATATATGCTTTATCTATATACATGCATACTGTATGCGCCTTAAAAATGCATTACTAAAAAGTGCTCTGTATTCATCATGTTTTGTTTGTAGAATATAAGCCAAATATTAAATGGTAAATATTTTTTAAATACGTTTATACCCAATGATTTGACATACATTTTCACTGCAGCATCAGATGGGCAAAAGCGAGCTTTCTTTACTGTTAAAGTCGGTGATGAGGTCACCCTACCGTCTGAAAATGTGACGACAGAGAATCATAACTGTGACGGAACCACATGGAAATTCAAACACACAGGACGGAAAACTGTAACATTGTTTGAACAAGGGATATTCACAAAGGAAGCTAAAGCTAAATCAGGCAAACTAAGTGTTACAGCAAACTGTTCTCTGGTCATTAAGAACGTCACAGCAGATGATTTTGGTCATTACTGCTGCAAAAGGAACACAACAGACCAAAAAGTCTCCCTCATTAAGGTTGATCTGAATGTTGTCACCAGTGAGTATTTATATCACATTGTTTTCAGATTTTACCGTAGTAATACAGCAATCCAGCTACATTTAATTATGTTGTCTTTTTAAAAACAATATCTCTATCTTTGCAGTGACTGAACATAGGAACGAGGAGGAAGTCACCTTTAGATGCTCTGTGTCAGTGTATACCGTCTGCAAACACTTAGTGGTGTGGCTGTATGAGGGCAAAGAGAACATATCCCCAGACAAGAACATATCAACTTCCTGTGCAGCAACAGTCACAGTACCAATGTCTTATCTCCATCAGAATTCTAAGTTTTATGAGTTATTAAAGTGCAAAGTTAAAGAGGCTTACACTAGAAAAGATTACCTGTTCACCTTCAGCCATCAGTCATCAGGTAAGAAAACAGGTGAGGAGATGATGGACTGTTTACCTGCACTTGTGACTTGAGACACATATTCAGGGTTTTATTATTTATACTTAAAGGAATGGTACACCCAAAACATGATCAGCCTTCATTTTCTACTCACCCCCATGCTGAACAACACTCTGGAGTACTTTTTTGATATCTCAAATGCATCTGGAGATCTGGGAGGCTTCTTGCTGTCTGCTGACATTCAAATAATGGAGGTCTATGGTGCCCGAGGCAGAAAGGTCCATAAAAGTCCACAAAAAACGTGTCAATATTCCTCCATACTGCTCGTCCAATGTATTCCAAGTGTCCTGAGTGGGTAGCGTCCATAATTTACTCGAAACAAAGTCATTTAGAATGTTTTTAGAGCATAAACAGTAGTGTATAGGATTTCCTAAAAGCGCCTTCACGAGTCTACGGAAACCGCGGCAGACCAAACCAGATGAAAGTGCGCATTCAGCGTCTGTTCTGCCGATAATGCAAGCATAGTAGAAGAAATGTGCTGTTTACCTGTGCAAAGAAAGAAACAACGAAAGAAAAATGTCTGAGGACTTCAGTGTTGAGGAAGAGCATGAGTTCTTCGCCAAGCTGAATGCACTGGTTTGGTCTGCCGCGGTTTCCGTAGACTCGTGAACGCGCTTTTAGGAAATCCTATACACTACTGTTTATGCTCTAAAAACATTCTAAATGACTTTGTTTCGAGTAAATTCTGGATGCTACCCACTCAGGACACTTGGAATACATTGGACGAGCAGTATGGAGGAATATTGACACGTTTTTTGTGGACTTTTATGGACCTTTCTGCCTCGGGCGCCATAGACCTCCATTATTTGAATGTCAGCAGACAGCAAGAAGCCTCCCAGATCTCCAGATGCATTTGAGATATCAAAAAAGTACTCCAGAGTGTTGCTCAGCATGGGGGTGAGTAGAAAATGAAGGCTAATCATGTTTTGGGTGTACTATTCCTTTAAGCTCTTACTCTTATCTGCTAAGATGTACTAAGACATTGTTGATGGGGAGGGAGGATTTTTCTTCTTTTATTGTAGAGATGTTGCTTACAGTATATCCTTGTTTACAAATGAGAAAGATTTAAGATTAATTTTTCAATAGATGTCTTACTGATTGCTCCATTAAATACAAAGTTTGAGAGGGACATATGTTGGCGATGATATCGATTAACTGTGTACAGTTTTGTTTTTTTAGAGATCAAAGTGATAGAGTTTGTTGCAATGCATTTTCAACAGAACAATACATAAAATGTATCTAAAAATATCCTAAATGCTTCCATTTGCTGGTAGGATCCTAGACTCGACAGCCCAGCTGCCCATGCTAGCAGATTCTCTTATTTATCTTAATAACAGTATTTTTTTTATTATTTCCAGGGAATTCTTTTTTTTTCAGACACATCATTCTCTGCTTGGTTTTAGCAGTATCTCTAATATGTCTTTGCATGGTTATCATATGGCTGAGCATTTTATGTAAGAAAAAAACTTCTTAAACGTTGATAAAACACAATTCAACTGTTAAAGATGAACTTGGGTTGAGATTTTTTCTTTTTTTTTGTTTTTTTTCAGGTAACAAAACAGCCTTGAATAGAAAAACTTGTAAGTTTGAATACTGAATTAAGAAATGTTGCATGATGTGTAGACTACACTTAACACTTTAAGCGGGGTATAGACTGTACAAGTTTTTGTCCTTTCGGGCGAATTTTTGGGACCGGCTGAGTTATAGCCCCATGGTGCGTCCTGTGTGGAGTGGTATACAGCGGGTAATGAGGGGCGATTAATCTCTCACGATCTCCTCCTGATCAGGAATCGTAAGGTCAAGAGAAAATCAAACATGTTCGATTTTCGTGGTTGTCGTGGGCAAATCCTGCTGTTGAAGCAGAGATACGAGCCGATTTACCAGAACCTTGCGCACTGCGCATGNTCAAACATGTTCGATTTTCGTGGTTGTCGTGGGCAAATCCTGCTGTTGAAGCAGAGATACGAGCCGATTTACCAGAACCTTGCGCACTGCGCATGTGCAAACAAGGGAGTTCTTCTTCTTCCAGATTGCTGAGTCGGACCAGCGACATCCCTCAGTGATGAGTCCAATTTTTAGTTGTCACTACCCGATCTGTCCCGGAGGCACGATCCGTACGATCAGCTCATTCGCGCATGCGCAATGATATACATCCAGGTCACCCTCAATTTAATTTTTTGAAAAAAATATCTAAATTACGCTATTAAGCATACTTAAATATAATGTGTTAAAGGTTAATAATGTATTTCCTGAGAAAATAAATGTATTAAAATCCTTTCTGTTTTATCACTCGTGTATTTTGAAAACGCCACTTCTTGGAGCTAACCTTCCGTCTGTCTTTAAGTTTTTTCCTTTCATGTTAATGTTGTGGTATATAACTTGTAACCTAAAGAAAGAAACAACTGAAATGTGGATAAACATGGTTAAATCATAATTCGCCTAACTACTCTGAGCACGTCCGATGATGACGTTAGACAAATTTTTCAACAGAGAAAAACATAAAAAGCATCGAAATTGTCTCAGAAAATGTCATAATTTATAATAATGTCACATTTTTTAAAGATATGTATTAGCATTCTTCAGTGAGTTAAGGATATAAATAAGTAATTTTAGTAACATTATTACATCATTTATGAAACGCGATGTATCAGGTAGTGCGATGGGTCGGGTAGTGACAGTGGTTACTGGATGTGCAGTGTTAGCAGGTAGATCGCATTAGAACGTTGGGCCATAAAGTGTAAGAACAAACATCGTGCACTGTGAACTTTTAAACTCTGCGGTTTTGTCACACAGTTTGAGCTGCAGCTAACTACAACGATTAAAAAATATTGTACAGCGTATGCCTGGCTTTAGTTATCTTTGCTGAAACTGACTGCACTTAAAATGTATTAGAATTAAAGATAAATATTTGGTATGCTATGTTTCTTGTAAAGAAAATAAGAAATGATTGCGTTATTTAATGCATTTTGATAAAGGAAAATATGTTTTTTGAAAACAGCTTTACATGGAAATGTAATAAATTCATTAACTGAATTCTCAATTTAACCCATTATGTCCTTTGTGTTTTTTCCTACAAGGTAATGGGGATCAGGAGACAGTGCCGTATCAAAACATGAAATAACCATCTGCTTCTGCTGGGTTCCACCTATCAATGTTTTCAAGATCCAGAGTACAAGAATGAAATGAATTAACTTTATCCAGCATATGCTATTTGTAAAAAATAAAAAAATAAAAAACAAGGAAGGCATTTGAATCTGAGCTATGGCAAATCTTATAAGAATATTGTATTTTATTCAAGCTTTTGTACTGATATTGCTTAATAATCTGCTGTAAGATAAATAACTGCCAAAATTTTAAATATCAAAAATAAATCAAGCATGAATACGATCACCCGCCTTTGTGTGAAAAGTTTTTTCTTTATGTTTTTGCAAATACATATTTGGTTTTTTATACTTTTTTTTTTTTTTATAAAAAAAGTTGTTTTGGATAATCTTATAAAAATAAAGCCACAAAATATTTTGTTTATCTAGTATTTTGAAGGATGTATTTTGAAACTTTGAATTTGGATGCAATTTATTACATTACAACGTCCACAGCAATACAACGCAACAATAATAATCTCATATGACTTTCTGTTTAAGTATTTATACATACACTTACAGATAAACATCTTATAATTAATGTAAATTATGCTTATATTATGCCCATATTTTCTCTGAGCATAGTATAGTTTGGGATCAACATTTATACATCAATTTAACTAAGTACTTAAAAAAAATGTAATGCTTTATAAGGCAAGGTGGAAGATTTTAGTAGAAGAAGAACAGTTTGGTGATGGGTGGGTGGCATTAGAGATTCACTCACCTGAGCTTTTCTTTCCAAAATTACTTATTTCAGGCACATCGGCATCAGGTTGAAGCTTAAAGAGAGGGATCTGCAACCATCCATTATTGTACATTCTTTGCTGATCATATAGCCTCTTCTTTACAGCTGCCCCAAAAGTTATATGTAGGATTTGCATCTTGGGACTAAGATAGCGATGGTGAGCATATTTTCTCTTTATTTAATCGTATGGTAAATGGTAAATGGTAAATGTACTTACATAGCGCCTTTATTCAAGTTAGGAGACTTGACCAAGGCGCTTTACACTACATTCATTCACCCATTCACGCACACACTCACACACTGATGGTGGCAAGCTACATTGTAGCCACAGCTGCCCTGAGGCTCACTGACAGAAGTATGTTTTAAGTCATTTTCATACTAAACAGTCAGTGATCATTTGTGGTCTTTGGGTCAGGCTACCATTTTTTTTTTTTTTGGTGTTAGGAACATTGTGGGTTTTACATGCTTTTCGCATGTTTATGTGTTGTTATAGTGAAAGTCACACTCTGGACTCAAATTCATTCAGACCAAAGTCATAAGAACGAATTGCATGGTTCAAGTTGAGTCTCTGAAAAGTTCACCAAAATCTACAGTTATTGATATCATGGAAAACTGACCTCCAGAAAGTGTCTAATATATACCGGTATTTATATATATATATATATATATATGGGCTGTGGACTTTACTATATATATAGTTAGATTTACAACAAAAGCTTAGGATTTTACATTTTGTCCCCAAGGCAGATTTAAAAGGCTGCACAGCAACCTTACTACCAGCAGGTGGTGCCCTTGGCTATAATAAATGAACTTTGGATAGAGAACTAATTTCATCTTCTTTCTGTCTCTCTCCCTGGATAAGGCTGGATCCTTAACGAAGGCAGATAATTAGCCAAACTGTGTGTGCTGTAGTCGGCTCACTGCCAACTGCACAGATCCACCTCCCACTGAGGTTGATAAGTTCACTGTGATGTTGTTCTATTTATGTCAATGTCTGAAAAATGGAAAAATTACTCAAATGAATCTTAATATGTTCTGATAATTTCTCTTATTCTTATTTTAACCAAAAGTTGGTTAATAGTACAAATGGTTTAAAACATCTGAATGCAGCCTTTGTGGTTCTGTCTCTTCTTCCTTGACTTTTAAATGTCTCTAAAATAGTTGATTTCCCTTAGAAACTTTAAGCTTAATCTGATATATGTGGTTTGACTTCCTCGTAGAGATTTCAGCCTATTTATTCAACTTTCATGGTATCGTTTCCCTGACTGGACTTTCATTATTAGGTCTCAGTTGAATTACCATTACAACAGTTTCCTTGAGGTTCTGCTGCAGCACTAATTTGAATGGGAAAACATTTATTTTCCTCTTTTCACATCAAAGCTTGCACTGTTTAACAGAAGAAGCAGAACAACAACAATAATACCAAATTGGGTCATTAAAAACATAGCATTATATTATTCTATCACGGTTACTTCTTAAGAAAAAAAATAGTTTTAAGCTCAGAGGCAACTGATAATAGTGATAAAACCCTGCAGGAATGCTGCTGCTGTTTATCCCATTTGTTATTTTTTTTTTTTTATTAATATTTTTAGTTATTTTTTTTTATTTTTTTTATTGCAAACTTTTTAGTTTTCTACTGTATTCTTAGAGACAATTGAACTTGTTAGGTAGATTATCATAGTGGCTTTATTTCAACAAATAAGTTAACTAAAGATTGACTTTGTTAATTTTTTCATTTTCAGTTACAACTTATACCAACTCATAATGTATATCCTAGAAAATAACAATTGTACAACAAGGAAATATTCTGTGCTGGATCTGAACCCATTTACCAGTCATTACTGGATGACTGTGGCAAAAAAAAATGTAAATTTTGGAATACCTTGTTGGCATCCTTAAACGTAAATTTGGTCCTTTTAGATTATTAAAAATATAAACAATAATGCACCACTTTTTTATATGTTGTATTTAATTTAATATTCTCAAAAAAGAAAATGTATGTTTAGTATTTGGGGTGATTAAGTGTAAGGACAGAGGCTAATAGTTTGTCATTAAAGGGGATTGGTGTTCTGGAATCCAAGGATATCCTCTTTGTGTCATGATCTTTGTGCTGATGACTGATGATCTGATTTCTCATTTGTTTCGCCTTCCTAGCTCCCCCCAGTTCTCATTACCGCTCATTTGTTCCACCTGCTTCAGCCTCCATTTAACCAGCCTTCAGACCAGTCATCGGTGCCAGATTATTTGAGCCTTTTGGTGAGAGTTCTCTAGCTTGCCTCCTGAGTCTCGTTGGCAGCCTACCGGCTGGAACCAACCTAATCCTCTGGGCTTTGACTGAACTATAAAACCAGAGATTCCTTCCTTAGATAAACGTTTAATAAACGTTTTGTTAAATCATGAGGCAGGGGAGATATAAACCTTTTGTTTTAAAGGGTGATACTTTGTGCTGTTAAGAAGCAGGGCTTTAAATTAAGCAGTTGTTTATTTTAAAGGTATACTATGCAACCGGTGTTGATTTTCCAGCGAGGCTCCCCCCAGAGGGCAAAAGTAAAAGTGCACTGTCGTAAATATGCTCAGCTGTTCTCCTGGTTTCTCCGTCAAGCCAGGCGCGGTTGTTTTCAGCTTAGCAAACAGGCGAACGCAACAAATCACCATGTCTATTGCGGTAAGTGAATATTTTGTTCCATTTTTCGAGTTTGAAAATTTTGCATGTTTTCATACATTATTTGTTATGCATGTGTCTAAATAACAAAGATTGCAGTTAGCCAAGTTCTCGCCGTAAAGCAAGACCGACTCTCGCGATGCACGAGACTGAGCCTGTGGGTGCGGGCCGAGGGCTCCTACAATTGCAAATACGGTATTTCCCCTACAGACCAGCAGGGCGGCCGAGAAAACCTTTGTTCGACCTGAAATTACTCATTTAATCATCCAAAACGTTATGGAACACATTAATTAACTGAAAAATGTTGCATAGTATGCCTTTAAAGCGCATATTTATTTAATTTTAATACTTTTGATAGTAATAAAGGTTGCTGGTAAACCATAGTCAGGAGATCTATAGCATACACAGTTGGTTTTATAACTAATGATAAGAAATATGACCCATAGCAAACATGAAAATCTGTTGGCATTGAGGCAGTTGGAAAACACTATAAAGAACAAACAAAAACTGTTGATTAAATGTGTGTTTTGATATAACCACTAGAAACATGCCCCCTTTGTCAGATGTTTGCTCATAAAAGCTCCTCTATAAAAAGAGTTGGATTTAGGTGATGAATTGAAGCAGAAGTTGTTGATCAGTTCCGTCTGAATGGAGAAGAGAGCTCTTCACTGTTTTCATACGTCACTGTATCACCATCATCAGCCTCTGAGGAAAACAACGGAAACAAAGGTTTTAGAATAACACTTTTTGTGATGGATCTCAATGATCCTGATTAAATCCTTTGCCAGTATTATATTCCTTATTACACCCTGACAATATTGCATTTTATTTGAATGTATTTCGAGATATATTTAAAAAAAAACAATGACATTTGTAAGCTGCAAATTAATTTGTAAATTCAGTATGATGACATGCAGTGTTTTCAATATTTCCATCTTTGTTTTTTTTTATAAAAAAATACAAAAGGACCTACGTAATTTTCACGCAAAGGAAAATTTATGTTTTTCAGGTATATATTCAATCATACTACCTTTGCATTTAATCCCCATGTTGACTGCAACAGTTGTTAGCAGGAGAGCCATCAATCCCACAGAAACAAGGATGCATCTTATCATGTATGCAAGTTCTGAAAAAGAGATTTGAAGAAATGTAAAAATTAATACTAATGATTTTGAAGCATGTCAACTTATTCAACTTCTAAATAATGTGAAAATATAAAAAGGTGGCTGACCAATGATCAGTTCTATACATAACACCAGAACTGATAAAGCATGGTACAATGTCTTTTAGCAAAGCAGAATTAGGTCTGAAATAACATTTGACCAGTTTGTAACCTAAATAAAAGAATCTGTTACCATTCCTATTGTCTCTTTAAGCCATTTTTCTGTTGATTTCACTACATAGTTTTGGCTATTTTTATGCTAAGGTTTATACAAATTGTATTCTTTTTTCTTTTTTTTTTACTTGATGTACTACCATTTAACTAAATTTCTTGGTGTATCTTAGTGCCCCCATATTTGTGTGCTGTAGCAAGGTTACCAAGGCATTTCAACAACAAACTGGCCCACAGTATCTCACATCCTCCTCCATACCTTAGAGTGGGTTTAAGGTTATTGTCTGCATATCCATCTACTGTTTTTAGGTGAAGACAAACCTGGAATGTTTGCTATTGGAAAGACCAAATTTATTCCCACTAGACCAAAGTACACGTCAACCCAAATCTCAGCAAAGGTGCTCAAAATGGACAGCAGGGT